ATGTGTCCACACCTCTATTGGATATCTTGGTCATTCAATGTATTCTTGTTACGAGAAGTAACTTCCTTCTCCAAGCCCCTAGAATACTCGGAGCAAAGAAATACGATTGGATTCTAGAAGAAAGTGTACCTTGTGTATACTACAATGTTTCATCTGATGCTCTGGTATGAACACTCACAATTGCATTGATGTGTATATATAAATGGATTAATATTTTGTTTGACATGTTTTATTAATTTCTTATTTGAATTGAAGGAGATCAAAAATATTTGGCATGAATTCGTGGTGAACAGTAACCCTCCTTATTATTTGTTGCAATTTAAAACTTTGGCCGTGAATGTGGATTTAAAGAATCCTCAAGAAGTTTGTGATGCGTGGATTACAGAAATGGAAAAGCTCGAGATCTTCTTTAAGGTACACTCATTTTATGCTTTGATCAATTTTCTTTAGTATCTTTAAATCATGATGTATATTTATTTGTATGTTCTTGGATATATATAGCATAACAATGTTCCTAAAGGAGAAGATGAATCTTCTATTGGCCAAGCACAACAAAAGAAAACAAAAGAAGGAAATTTCTTTATCAATGATGATTTACACGTAAGAGTTGTGTGGATGTATAACTTGAGTGACTTCAATGAGGAAGAATATAGGTTAGCTTCACTTTTAGTGACACAAAGAACGTTGAAGCATAAGTTGATGATCGAGACGTCATCGATTCCTGCAAACAAGAAGTTGAGGGTTAAAGCGGCAGTAGCCAATCTAATGAAACTTCCAAAAGGTAACAAGGAGCTTATTATCGAATGCTTTTGATGATCTTGGTTCAAATTTAGCCATTGGTCACATGAACTAAAGTAACCTTCTATTTGTTAAGTAGAAGATTATATGGTTTGAACTTTCAAGCAGTGTTTTTGGTGTTTTATTTTTCATATTTTCATATCTGGGATTTGGTTTGTATCAATTTGAATGTTAAGATTTGTTCCATTGAGTTTTTGTCGTGGTCAATAGTTTCCCAAAATTATTGACGTATGTTTTTATAAATTACTTTGATTACAAAAGATTGCATAGTTTTGTTTGATATGACTGTTTTCTGGCAATACTCATAATTAAATATGTTATTGCTAACAAAAATCAATTATGAGTATTGATTTGGAAATGTTATATTGATTATGAGTATTGATTTGTAAAGTTTCTCGGATCGCCTTGGCTATAATCTCTTGGGCTGAAAAAGTTTTATCTTCAAAATTCAAAGAGTTCAAATATTGCTTTGGAAAAAAAAAAATACATAAACTTAGCTTCCCGATCGACCTAAAGAAACTATAAATTTAAATCCCAAATTTTTGGGGTTCATAAAAAATATGCAAATATTTGGAGCAACCAAGTCGAGTGAAGAGGCAACAGTTTCGAATTACCACATACTAACAAGAGGCACGTAAACGATACTTTAGTCCAGTCCAAATCACATGTACAAACAAACAAACAAAAATTTGAGACAGAGATTAAAAGACAATATTTCGAGTTCTTTGTTTGTGAAGTAAAACAAAGAGGTAATCTTTTTAAGGAAAATCGTTTTAGTTGCGCTTCTAGGAGAGAGAGGAATACGCAGCCAACCCTACATTTACCTCCCAATCTTTTACACAATTTATCTTATAATCTTAAATTCTTCATATATTATAAAACCTGCTTTTTTACTAGATTTCTCTATATAATATGAATGTTTTTTTATTAGAAATACTATTTTGATTGAAAAAGTTCTATGTAACACATCTGTCAAACCACATAATTTTGTCTTTTGGGTTCATATATCTAAAACTCTGGTTTCCTTTATTTTTCAATAATATTTCTTTGAGAAAATTGGATGACACACAATGACACAAAACATGCATGTCGAATCAGTAAAACATTTTAAATTCCAAAGGAAATACTATAAAAGAGATAATTATATATAGACATAAGAACAAATCTCATTGACTAAATTGGTTTTGATATTGAAAAAATGCATGCCTAAGGAAACAAATAATATTTTGTAATTAAAAGTTGAGAAATTTTTAAAAATGCCACTTTTCAAATGTCACTTTACAAAAATACCATATTTTTGAAATCTTAACAAAAATGCCACTTTTTCAAATTTTTTTTTTTTATATTATTTATGTTTGGGTTAATTATACTCTATTAGGGTTTAGTTACGAGGGTTTAAGGAGATTTAGGGGTCAAAACATTTTTTAGTGTTTAGAATTTTAAGATATAGGGTTTAAAAATCTAAAATTAGT